TGCATCGATCATCTCCCTGATCAACTGATATTAAACCACATTGTGACATGAAGATGCAAGCATTTATTGTTGACAAGATTAAAATGACAATGACAATGTTATTCTAAAGGGATTGTGTATATATGAATAGGTAATTGCTATCCTACAACAATTTGCTCTTTTAACGAAGCAATGTAGCATATGAAATATAGATGAGATGACTCACCACAATGTGAAAAGAAAAACAGACCTTATTAGGAACAAGGGCATTTTCAACCCCTTCAATTCCTGTTTCAACAAAGTACAGTTCCACTCATCCACACATTGTCAATGTCATAGACGTGTCCTTGGCTGATCTAACAAAGTCTGACGTTTTCTCTCCTCACTTGTCTTTCCTCTGCATCAAGGAGCACAGCTGAATTGCTTAGATTGCTCCTGGGCTTTTTAACTTATTTGTGAAGACCAACAACTACGCTCACCTCCTGTTGTATCCCTGGGCAATGATGAAGTCAGCTGCTCCAAGACACTGGAGATAATAGCTTCAGCCATAATCAGAAAAGGTAACTATTTGTAAGAAGAAAGAGCAGAGATATATTCGTGAAGCTTTTGACATCGTTTGAATTCTTATACTAAATAACATAAAGAAGCCTAGAAACCAACAAATGTTACATGGTGGCAAGGCCCTGCGCACCTTCTATTGATACCATAATTCAACAAAATATGTCAGACTTCAATGTTGATATATACCAAATCCTTTTAAAATAATGAATCAGTAATGGTGAGCCTGGTTGGCCAACCTTGAATCATCTTTGTTTGTTTTATGTATAGTTGTGTGTATTAATCTTTTATATATAAAGCAGAAGCAGTAATATATATTATTAAATTAATTATGAAGAATTTTATCCTTATATAGCTCACAAGAAAATGTGAAAACCAGAAGATTCAGCACCTGTTTCATCGCCAAAGTTTCTTCTTGTTACAAATATGTCCCTCAATGAAGTTTCTACCATTGAACTATAAAGAATTGGCCTTCATTCTTCATCTTCTTCATAACCCAGTGTTGTGACCTTTAGGGAGTACAGAGACAGTTATACACAAAGATTTAAGGGATGCAATTTTCCCAAGGAGGCAATGCTTGCAGTTTATGCTCAGCAGTGTTAAGTCCTGAGGTTGGTTAAGGACATCATCCATTGGGTAAAAGCACACTGACATATGAAAAATGCATTAATTATTTATAGGATTACAAATGACAGTGATAGTTTAATTCAAAAAAGGGTAGTAAATTGTTCTATTTAAGAAGCAAGTAAGGGATAGATATATAGATCAAGGCCAGCTCACCCAACAAAATGTGAAAACCAAGATTCAGTACTTGTTTCATGAAGCAAATTGCTTTTATTTCTACATGCATCATGAAGTTTCTGCAATTGCTGCCCTAGAGCATTCCCTGCAGTGAGGAATCAGTTTCTGCACATTAAAGATATAGCGATTCAGAAAGAGGATGATGTGATATGCTTTTGTTTAAACATCAAGAATGAAAAAATAAAGATTATTAGTAGAATGCATTACAACCATGTATTAACTCTGATATGTTTATTAATCACAATTCTTCAACTAATCTCTGAATGTCATTGTTCCTCTCTTAAATCGCAAAATACAGCACTGAGACAACAAATATTGATGAACTTGCAACTAGACTAGAAAATTACATGCCTCAGTATAAAAAAGAAACTTAAACAGTATCAGAAAATTGATTAAAGGAAAGTGGGATTATGACCTTTAACATACATAGTTCCAGGCCTGTCTACTTGTTCCAGGATGATACAAACTCAGTAGACAGAAAATGTTGGTTTCCATAAGCTCATATAGAGGAAAAAAAAAAAACACAAATTCATGACATCTTACTTGCCTGATAATAGAGGGACAACCAGAACAAACTTAGTTTTCTCATCAAGGGATTTCATAGAGAATCCAGTGTAATGACAGATGCAGTTGCTCAATATCTTCTTAAAAGTCACAACACAACTTTCATTGATAATTCCCCATTAGCTGCTTGTATCACTATGTTTGAATTCCTCCTCTGTTACGATTCATGGTTCCATGATCATCTGATGCTAAAGCACCACTCTCACATGAAGATGCTAATATTAATCCCATATACATTTTCTAAACAAAGGTTAATAAAATAGGTGATTGGCTACCATCAATGACAGTTTGTTCTTCTGAAGAACAACGTAGCAAATAGAACTCAGATGAGATGCTACTCACCAAGCAAATTTGAAAACCAAAAGATTTAGGACTTTTTCTCCAGGCCTGTCAAGTTCCGTGTGGAAAAATGTTCTTCCACGGGAATTTGATGCCGGGTTTCAATATGCTCAAAGGGAACAAACGCCTTAACATAGGTAACTTTCCTTACAACTTGATAAGAGAAACCTCAACTGAGTCCTCAGAATTTCATAGATGAAATTCAGTACAATTAGAGAAGCTCCCTGACAAACAACACAAAACCAGTTATTAAAGAGAAATGAATAGGTAATGCGGTATCATATAACAATTTGTTTTCTTGAAGAAGCAATTAGAAACGGAGATGAGATGCTACTCACCAAGAAACTTTGAAAACCAAAAGATTGCACTTGTTGGCTGTTTCATTGGCAACTTTTCTTTTCGATAGAATTGCCCGCACCGAAATTTCTGCTATTGAATGATTACAACTTGTCATTTCATTACTTGCCCCGGAGTATTTTCTCTGCCGATCATGACAAAGTTATAATTGTTAGCATAATAATTTTATCCTGGTCTGTCACTGTTTTCCAGCATGACAAATTCTGCAGAAGGAATTTAATGCCTGGTTTCAATTAGCTGAAAGTGAACAAATGTCTTAACATAGGAAGTTTTGCTGAAATTCAAGACACAATGTCAACCTTGATTCTTCAGGAAATCCATGACATCTTAAACTTGCCTCTCTGCATCAAATTAACATATCAAAATAAAGTTTAATTATAGAGAACATGCTTTTCAATGTCCCCACTGAGTAGAGAATGAGCAAGAAAATAAACCTATCACAATGAATCATCAAAGGATTTCATGAGGGAATCCACCGTAATTGAGAAGCTTCTGACATAAGAGCAATCCAACATAAGAGAAACCAAATAACAGATACATAAATCAGTTCTGCATAAAATTTAAAGAACATGCAAAACCAGTAATTTGTTGTGATATGCTTTCTAGTTTAAAATAAGGAAAAACAAATAAGTAGAAAGCTAACCAACCACTTGAGTCCTTTTGAGTACATAATCTCCTATATTTGTCCATCCTCTTCCACTTTGTTCTAGTACAATTTGGAAGCTGTGATCAAATAGAAATTCGCATGCCTTAGTTAAAAGGAAATTGCACTAACAGTATTATCAGATGATTAATGGTATCAAATTCTAGCTTACCAAGCCATGTAGACAAGGATGGAGCACTGGTTTCATCTGGTAAATTTTCTCTTTGCTTACAAGTGCCTCAATCAAGTTTACTTCAGTGCATGATGTCATTTGGTCAATTTGAAATTCTTAGCATTGTTAGCAACCATAAAAAAATAAGTAACAGAACCAGTTACAAAATGATGTGATTTGCTTTCTAAATAAACGCAAGAATTAAAGAAAGAACAGAGAGCAATATTGAGAAAGCATAACCAACATAATCAAGTTCTTTCCGCTACTCTCCAAAACCCATTCTTCCTCTCTTTAAAGTTTCCTGGGTTTGGTTTGGAAAATGCTGTGTGTCAAGTATCTATCATCAATAACAAATTGTCTATGCAGAAGCAAACAGAGATGAAACGTGAGCAGTTTGAAGCTTACAGAAAATGTTAAGAGCAGGTTGAGCTCTTGTTTCATCTTGCAAATTATCTCTTTTTACAATCCCTCAACGACGTTTCTTCTTCCAAAAATGAGATAACTGGTTCTGCAATTCTATGGCCTCCAGTATTTACTCTGTGATCTAACAGAATTCTTGAATTCTCAGAATAATTAGCATGACTAGAAAATCACTCTTCACATACATCAAAGCAAGAACAAAAAGCAACATTGGTAAGCATTAAACACTAATTCAGTTCTTTCAGACTCTTCTAAAGCCCTTAAGTCCTTCTCTCTTCGATAGGTATTAATGGGCCAATCCATTCTTAATTTTATATAAAATTAAATAAGATAATAAAATCTATGAATAAATATTACTTAAACATGAAATTTGAATAATTGATTAAATATTGAATCAGAAATTGATACATTTATTTAAACAAAAATAAAATATATTACCTCTCATTTTCCCCTACAACCAACAATCATGAATATTTTTCATTGTTGTTCTTCCTTTATTTACTGCTTACCCTTGGTTTTCCTTCAAAGATGAGAGAGTAAATCATTTCAGCACATAGAATCAAAACACAAAGCATTTATGTACCTTATTTTGTATTAATAACCAATGCATTCTTTAATTTTACAAAATATATATAAATATTCTATTATTTTTAAATAACTAATAAGAAAATTTTGATGAAATCAAATTAATTTTATAAAGATAATGATCAAAAGTGAATATAATTAGTGAATTAATTGGCAATGCCAGGCCACCATATGTATTAATATTATATTACTATTCTTGAATTTGGACCATTATTTAATTACCTCTAACTAAATCTATCATTATCATTTAACTTAAACACTGCCTTTTTCAATATCTTCAAATCATTAATTGTTCAATCACAATACATTTATTTAAACAAAATAAAAAAATATTACCTCTCATCTTCCCCTCATCAATCGTAGTGTAGCAGAGGACAGTACCATATGTTTTGTCAATGCTGTATTCTGAACAATGTGGTTTGGCAGTGCCTTCATTGGGGCAGTAACTAATTTCAAGGAAACCAAAGATGACATGATTGTAATATCATCATCTTCTTCTTCCTTTCTTGTAATCTCATAATCCCACTCTTCCCATTCATTCTCACCAAAGCGAGAGTTTTCATTGTGGGAAGAAAAAAATGATGAAGAGTCCATCACTTTCTATTCCCAACCATTAATAGAGTTCTTTCGGCTACACTCTAAAAACCACTGTTCCTCTCTTCGAAGGTCTGGACTTTGGTTTTGGAAAAATGCTCTGTTTCAGGTATCTATTATCAATAACAATTTGCTCTATGCAAGAAGCATGCAGGAGATACAAACTTAGATCATTTGGAATCTCACCAGGGAAATGTTAAGAACAGGATTGAACTCTTGTTTCATCTGGCAAATCATCTTTTTGTTTACAAGCGCTTCCTTAAATGAGATAAATTGGTCCTGCAGTTCTATAGCCTCCAGTATTGACTCTGATGATCACTTCTTCACATACATCAAAGAAATAAACATAATACTCTGATATGCTACCTAATTAGAAATCAAGAAACAAAGAAAGAACAGAAAGCAGCATTGAGAAAGCATATCCAACCACTAATTGAGTTCTATGGACCACTCTTCTAATGCCATTAATTCCTCCTCTCCTCGATAACGAGAAATGCTGGACTGAGAAAATAAATTTTGATGAAATCTGAAACTATAAATAGAAAATTATATGCCTTAGTTAAAATTAAAGAAGAGCTTAAACATTAAGAGAAAATTGACGTACAAAAAGTGGTATTATGACCTTCAAGACGTACAGATACAAAAGATATTTCCTGGTTTGTCACTGTTTTCCAGCAGGACAAAAAGTTTTGCGGAAGGAATTTTATGCCTGGTTTCAATTAGCTAAAAGCGAACAAATGCCTTAACATAGGAAAGTTTTGCTGAAATTTATGACATCATATGTCAACCTTGATTCTTCAGGAAATTCATGACATCTTAAACTTGCCTCTCTGCATCAAAATTAACATATCAAAATAAAGTTTAATTATAGAGAACATGGGTTTTGAATGTCCACACTATGTAGAGAGTTAAGCAAGAAAATAAACCTATCACAATGAATCATCAAAGGATTTCATAGAGGGAATCCACTGTAATTTGAGAAGCTTCTGACATAACAGCAATCCAACAGTAAGAGAAACCAAATAACAGATATATAAATCAGTCCTGCATAAAATTTAAAGAACTTACAAAACCAGTAATTGTGCTGTGATGTGCTTTCTAGTTTAAAAATAAGGAAAAACAAAGAAGTGAGCATAACCAACCACTTGAGTCCTTTTGAGTACATCATCTCCTATATTTGTCCATCCTCTTCCATATTTTTCCTAAGGCACAAATTCTGAAGCTGTGATCAAATAGAAATTTGAATGCCTTAGTTAAAAGTAAAAAATTGCTTAAGCAATATTATCAGATGATTAATAGTATCAAATTCTAGCTTACCAGGCAAATGTGAAGACAAAGGATTGAGCACTGGTTTCATCTGGTAGATTTTCTCTCTGCTTACAAGTGCCTCAAGTTTTCTTCTGTGCATGATATCATTTGGTCAATTTGAAATTCTTAGCATTGTTAGCAACCATAATAAATAAATAAATAACAGAACCAGTTACAAAATGATGTGATTTACTTTCTAAATAAACATCAAGAATTAAAGAAAGAACAGAGGGCCACATTGAGAAAGCATAACCAACCATTAATCGAGTTCTTGAGTTCTTTCCTCTACTCTCCAAAACTCATTCTTCCTCTCTTCAAAGTTTCCCTGGGTTTGGTTTTGGAAAATGCTGTGTGTCAAGTATCTTTTATTACTAAGAAATTGTCTACGCAAGAAGCAAACAGGAGATAGAAACGTAGATCACTTTGAAGCTCACCAGGAAAATGTTAAGAATAGGATTGAGCTCTTGTTTCATCTTGCAAATTATCTCTTTTTACAAGTCCCTCAATAAAGTTTCTTCTTCCATAAATAAGATAAACTAGTTCTGCATTTCTATGGCCTCCTGTATTTGCTTTGATGATCAGTAACAAAATTCTTGAATTCTCAGAATAGTTAGAATGACTAGAAAATCACTTATTCACATACATCAAAGCAAGAACAGAAAGCAGCATTAAGAAAGCATATCTAACCACTAATTCAGTTCTTTCGACTACTCTTCTAGAGCCATTAATTCCTCCTCTCCTTGATAAGGTGAAATGCTGGCTGAGAAAATAAATAGTTGATGAAATATGAAACTATAAATTGAAAATTATAAGGCTTTTAGTTAAAATTAGAAAAGAGCTTAGAAATTACCAGAAAATTGATGTATGAAAAGTGGGATTATGACCTCCAAGAAGCACGGATACATAAGATATTTCCTGGCCTGTCACTGTTTTCCAGCATGATACAAAGTTTTGTTGATCAAATCTGATCCCTGGTTTTAATAAGCTCAAACAGAAGTAATGTCTTAATATAGGTAACAATTCATGACATCTTAAACTCGCCTCTCTGCATATTATAAAAATAACTGAATCAGAACACAATGTTGTGAAGTGCTTTTAAACATCAGTAAGGAAGAAAGAAAAGAGAAATTCACAACCAACCATTAACTAAGTTCTTCTACTACTCTTCTAACACCCATTATCTTCCATAGCGCAAAATGCTGCACTGAAACAATGATTTGAAAGTATAAATAGAAAATTACATGTTTTAGTACAAAATGACAGAAAAAAGCACTTAAACATTTTCCAAGCCAGACAAAATTTAAACAGTATGAAATGCTAGCTTACCAAGTAAATGTAAAGAGCAGGGTTTGGGCAATTGTTTCATCTGGTAAAAGATAACATAATATACCTCATTTTGAAAGTTTAACAGAAAATTGAAATTCTTCCGATATGCTTTCATATTAAACATGAAGCATTAAAGAAAGAACAGAGAACAACATTGAGAAAGCATAACCCACCATTAATTGATTTCGTCCAGCAACTCTGCAAAAAGCATTCTTCCTCTCTTCCATGCCGCAAAAGCATGCATCTCTGGAACAGTAAATATTTTGACGAAATATGAAACCTTAAATAGAAAAAATTACATGTCTTTGTAAAAAGGAATTGACCCAAAAAAAAAAAAAAGAAGCACGTACTTGACTGAGTTCCTCTGCCTACTCTCCTCTCCTAACACCCATTATTTCCTTCTTCCAGAAGACAAAAAAGCTGCATTGAATTTGAAGCTATAAATAGAAGAACATTACATGCTTTAGTATAAATGAATTAATATATATTTAAGATATTTATTTTTTAAATTAATTAATTAACTCTCCAAATACTGATCTCTAGTACAAGGCCCATGTACCTAATTTTGCATTAATGGACCAATCCATTCTTTAACAATTTTACAAAAAAATATAAATATTCTATATTTTTAAATATCTAATTTTGATGAAATAAAATTAATTTTATAAAACTAAAAAAAATTAAAAAATAAATAAATTCAGATTAAACTAAAATAAATTCAGAAAAAATATTGATCTTCACAAGTCACCAAAAACCATATTTAACAAGATCCATGTAACGTATTTTGTACTAATGGGCCAATAATTGCATTATGTATAAAACTACAACAACTAATTTGGTTAAAACAAGTGGAGTAGAGTATATATAAACATAATCATTCAACAAATCCAATGCTATTTCTCTCTCAATCATTCATTTTATCATTTCTATTTTCCTTTAAATAACTGCCAATGTAAACATAATCAAATCAATACTTAATTAAAATTGGCAATGTATTCATATTCTATTTACTATTTCTTTCATTTCCACCATTATTTCTATTTCAATTACCTCTAACTAAATCTATCATTATCATTTAACTTAAATACATGCCTTTTTTTCAATTTCTTCTAATTCATTAATTATTCAATCACAAATACTTTTATTTAAACAAAAATAGAAAAAAAAAAAAAATATTACCTCTCATCTTCCCCTTCATCAATCGTAGCCTAGCAAAGGACAATCTTGAATAACTTTTTCCAATGTTGTATTCTGAACAATGTGGTTTGGCAATGCCTTCAATTTGGGACAGTTCCGAATTTGCAAGAAAACCAAAGATGGCATGATTGTAATATCTTCTTCTTCTCCATTTCTTGTAATCTCATAATCCCACTCTTCCCATTCATACATATGACTAAAAGTGAGATATTTCAATTTGGGGAAGAAAATAAATGATGAAGATGTACCATCACTTTCTATTCCCAAAAATTCATTACTCACTCTTTTCAAACTCCTCATATCATTTATATACAAAGATTCAAGGGATGACAATTTTCCCAAGGGAAGCAAACGCTTCAAGTTTATGCAATCATAAAGTTGTAATTTCCTGAGCTTGGTTAAGGACATCATCCAATTGGGCAAAATAGTGTTGCCTATGTAATTCCTTATCATTAATTTCTCCAAATTTAAAGGTGGTTGTAAGATTTTAAGAAGTGCTTCATCGTCCTCATTCGTCCTCCCTCCTTCATCTTTTTTGAAATCCAGAAATAAATCAAAGAGGTTTTTCTGATTCTTGAGCTCTGATCTTCTAGCTTCATCCACATTTGATGCATATCCCAACTTTTTTATACACAACTCTCCAAAGAGGTTAAGGTATTTCAAGCCTTCAAGGCTACATGTTTTATTATCAGTACCACCACCACCACTCACAACGAACCACCTTAAGCTTCGGAGATTAGTCAATCTTTGAATTCCTATTGGCATGTATTTTAATGACTCGGTCCCAAAATTTACTAGATGCCTTAGATTTATTAACTTTCCAATCCCTTGAGGTAATTCTTCCAAATCTCCACAACGTCTAATGTCTAAAGTTTGCAAATTATATAATCCACATAATTCTTCTGGAAGTTTTGTCATTTTTATCCCGTTCAAATTGAGATATCTCAAATGTATCAATTTTCCAATCTCTTTAGGAATGTCGTCAATCACACTTCCATAAAATGCACCTATGGTTAATGCCTTTAAACATGTCAACTCACCAAATAATTTTGGTAAGATATGAGGAGCCAATTGATCCAAGGAATCTTCAAAATTACATAGGAAACTACGAATCCTTCTAAGACTAAAAATGGAATTAGGAAATGAATCTTCTCTATGAATTGTTACCATCAAGTGACAAACTTGCTCATGATAAGAAGAGTTTATGATTGGATCCCTAAGACCATCAACTTCTATCGACATACATTCATTCTTACTTAGGAATTGGGCAAAGTCATGCACCAAATCGTGCATCTTACATGTTTTGATGTTATTGTCATCATCTATTTCAAACTCTTGAAAGAATGATCGTGATGCTAAATAATCAAAGTACTCTTTACCAACTATCTCCATCACGTTATTTTCATATCCTTTTAGATAACCATGTGCCATCCATAATTTAATCAAATAATCTTTATCTATTTCATAATCCTTAGGGAAGACGGCACAATATATGAAACATTGTTTTATCCTAGGAGGCAAATCATTATAACTCAATAATAATGGCCGAAAAATATAATTTTCTAATTCTACAAGTTTCCATAATTCACTGTCTAAGATATTTTGCCACTGTTCCCTATGTTTCTTAAAGCGCAAGAGACTCCCGATAGTCTTTATAGCGAGAGGCAAACCCTTGCACTTACTTAAAATTTGCATACCAATCTCTTCAAAATTTTGACACTCCTCTTGTGACATACCAAAAAATGCTAATTGCCTAAATAACAACCAACATTCTTCTTCAGGCAACTCCTTAACTTTTATAATATCAATTGATCCCATCATACGTGCAACCGACTCCTTACGTGTAGTAATCAAAATTTTACTTCCATGGAGACCATTCTTCAAGCAATCATACAATGGTTTCCATTTACTGGAATCCTCATTCCACACATCATCTAAGATCAAAAGAAATTTCTTTCTCATAATAGATTCCCTAACACGTTGAAGAAGCAATTGGAATTCACCTAAATTCGGAGTAGAACCTTCTAGAGACTCGATGATTGCTTTGGCTATCCTGATCTTATCAAAAGGTTCTGACACACACACCCACATCTTATGGTCAAAACTATTAATTACCTCATTATCGTTATAAGCAAATTGAGCCAAAGTTGTTTTACCAATCCCTCCCATCCCTATAATAGAGATGATATGGGGGCGTTGTTCACTGCTCTCACGCAACATGCGTACTAAAATACTCTTGTCATTAACTCGACCACAGATCTCAGACACATCAACAAATGAAGTACTGTGTACTCGGTCGGAATTCCCAGCACTTCTACTCACATTAAACTCATACCTATCTTTTTGTGTCGCAATGACATCTAAATTTTTATTGACTTCTTTTATCTTCATCGCAATGTCATGACGTAAAATAACTTGTTTGAATGAAAAGCAAGAGGAGGGAAAGAAGAAACACACCTTTTTAGGAACAGTAGCATATTCAACTCCCTCAATTTGTTGTTTCAACATGGCGTAGTTCCACTCATCCAACACATCTTCAATGTCGTAGGATGTGTGTTTGAGCCGATCTAACCAAAGTCCTAGAGTTTTCTCTTTGACTTGTCTTTCCTCTGCATCAACAAGCACAGCTTCGATATCTTCAAGATTGCTCTTAAGCTTTTCGACTTCTTTGTCGACACCAACAACTAGCCTCACCTCATGTATCCCCTCCTGAATCCCTTCAGCAGTTATTGAAATGAGCTGCTCCAAGACAGCGGAAATAATAGCTTCAGCCATAATCAGAGAAGGTAAATATTTGTAAGAAAAAAGGAGCAAGAGATTTTTTGTGAAGATTTTACCAAATCCTTTTAAAATATAGAATCAGTAATGGTGAGCCTGGTTGTGCCAGAACCTTGAATCATCTTTTGTTTGGTTTTATGTATAGTTGTGTTGTAGTATACTTTTATATATAAAGCAGAAGCAGTAAATATATTATAAATTAAATTATGAAGATTTTATCCATATATAGAGCTCACCAAGAAATGTGAAAACCAGAAGATCAGCACCTGGTTTCATCAGCCAAAAGTTTTCTCTTGTTACAATATATGTCCCTCAATGACGTGTCTAATTGAACTAATAAAAGAATTGGTCCTTCATTCTTCATCCTTCCATAACCCATGTGTGTGACCTTTAAGGAGTACAGAGACAGTTATACACAAAGATTTAAGGGATGGCAATTTCCACGAAGGCAATGCTTGCAGTTTATGCATCCAGCTAGTGTTAAGTACCTGAGGTTGGTTAAGGACATCATCCAGTTGGGTAAAGCACACTGACATATGAAAATGCCATAATTTTTATAGGATTACACATGACAGTATGATGTTAATTCCAAAAAGGGTAGTAAATTGTTCTATTTAAGAACCAAGTAAGATAGATATATAGTCAGAGGCCAGCTCACCCAAAATGTGAAAACCAAAAGATTCAGTACTTTTTCATGAGCAAATTTGCTTTTATTCTACAAGTGCATCAATGAAGTTTCTGCTGCAATTGCTTTGCCCCTAAGCTTCCCTGCAGTGAGGAAATCAGTTCTGCACATTAAAGATATAGCAGATTCAGAAAGAGGATGATGTGATATGCTTTTGTTTAAACATCAAGAATGAAAAAAATAAAATTATTAGTAAGAATGCATTACAACCATGTATTAACTCTGATTGTTTTAATCACAATTCTTCAACTAATCTCTGAATGTCATTGTTCCTCTCTTAAATCACGCAATACAGCACTGAGACAACAAATATTGATGAAACTTGCAACTAGACTAGAAAATTACATCCTCAGTATAAAGAAAAGAACTAAACATTATCAGAAAATTGATTAAGGAAAGTGGGATATGACCTTTACAAGTACATAGGTCCGGCCTGTCTACTTGTTCCAGGATGATACAAACTTCAGTAGACAGAATGTGTGTTTCCAATAAGCTCTATAGAGGAAAAAAAAAAACACAAATTCATGACATTCTACTTGCCTGATAGTAGAGGGACAACCAAACAAACTTAGTTTCTTAGTCATCAAGGGATTTCATAGAGAATCCAGTGTATGACAGATGCAGTTGCTCAATATCTTCTTAAAAGTCACAAGTCACAACTTTCATGATAATTCCCCTATTAGCATGCTGTACACTATGTTTGAATTCCTCCCTGTTACGATCATGGTTCCATGATCATCTGATGCTAAAGCACACTCTCACATGGAAGATGCTAA